CAAATAGTAAACGGTGGTAAGATGTTATGGCTCGAATTCGCACCTTCAAGATTTACGGTTTAAGACTCTTTCCAGCACACTGCTCACAATTACAGCGGAGCAAAACAAACTATATTGTACGAGATGTAACAAAGCATATAGCAAAGCAGCTGTAGCATTAGTCTGAATATTGTCCATTGAAGACGGGTGGAGAATGAATAAAAAATGCTCGAGACCGTATATATTACAGCTGTAAAGCAATCCACTGTTTATTATAAACGATGTTTAAAGAGATGACAATCTTGTTCAAAGAGCTTACCAGTGCTACCGCATAAACATAACATGAAAAGAATGTAAATAGTAACATTGAGTGGTAGTTTACGCTATTAAACCTGGTTTCGGACGAGTTCTGTGCCATTAAATACAATCCAGCATAAGAACACATTAAATAAGTCTGATTTTTTTTTCACATTTTTTCGTTCTCATGTCTGCCGCGCTCTGCATGAAAATAGAGAAGCAATGCAGTAGGAGGAAAAGTACGCGTATCTGAGTGTAGTGTCTACTGGTCATGGGAAACATGAGTATGAGATCCACCGATGAACTGGAACTACCATGGAACGCTGTGTCTAAAATAGAACGGAGCTGAAGCCTAAGCGGTTGAAATGGGCTTTCTGAGACGAATCGCTGAGCTCACGCATCTTTATAGGCCCGTAGCTGAGATATCCAAAAGAAGCTTCGTGTACAGTCCCTGGTTCTGTAGCGGGAAAAGTTACAGCTGTAATGATTAGGGCGTGTCCTTTGAATGAATGCTTCCAGAAAGGAAAACGAAACAGCTACTACTACTACCTCTACTGAAGACCATGAGGACAGCCAAAAATAACCGGCGCAATTGTCTCGACGGGCACTTGCCCGAACTGAGGACCAGTGAAATCCAACACAGAACAAAACTGACAATGAAACATCTCAATACAATACTTAAACAATCAATAAGTGTTGAAGAACAACGTACGAGACTGTTGATATATAAAATTTGAACAAACATCTAAATATTCATTTTATTTTGAAGTCCAATGAATCAAAAATATTAAGCGCAGATTTAAAAAACTGCTGACAATTTCTAGAAGAAAATTCATAAAGCGAGAAAGAACACAATGATATACCTTTGATTCTGTAGCGATGATGCGACGGCGATGGCGTCATCTTTTGAACGAATGAGAAACGGCAGTTTGTTGTATGGGGCAGCTTTTAATACACTTTCTAACGAATTTATGGTACGTAAAACAACCGCATTTGAGGTGACGTCAATTTTTGACACGACGACAAAAACAGGAAGGTCTAACGCAAACGACCATGCTAGATGATCCCGCGTTGTGCTACCTAAAAGAACGTTAACGTTTAAACGAATAAAAATTCAAAAGAATTTCTGAAAGTCACTTTATGCTGAAAAGTATCATATTTTGGTACCTTGCTGAGGCATTTAACACTAAAGCTGCACTATCTGCTATACGAGAAACGAAAAACGAACAACAGAAAAACAATGATTCGATGAATGAGCGGAAAGTTAGCGCTCGACATACCTAGTCCTACAAGGGCATCTACCACTAGCATAAGGAAATGCGGATTGTAACCAGACAATCCAAAGATAGTGGTTTTCATATACTTTTGATGGCCAGCCAAATCGATAAAAGTGATCAACTTATGCGACAAATCGCAAATTTCATCGTCAGAATAAAATCTGTGGTTGAGGATCTAAACATATTATTGATAACATAAATGGCATGGGGCGATGGGTCATCGGTTCTCACCTGTCCATCGGCGTCAAAGCCAACGATGCCCAAACCCACTGAAGACGTTCGACCGGTCTGAATTTCGTGAAGGTGTCGAAATAAATTTAGCCTAGACTTTCCTCGACCATTGTCCATCTCTCCTTCGGTCAGTACACCTAACAGCGTAGACTTGCCGGAGTCTGCACATCCGAGGACCGCGATCCTGAGATCGATGAACTGTAAATTACAAATATATTTAGACATGGGAAAAAGAAATACTTGGAAAACATAAAACAACTGGTGGCAACAACAGACGTACAATTTGACACGGTAAATTAAAACTTCAAAAAATACTTGCTGACATTCAGGAACCTTTCTGATCAGCAACTCGACGACTTTGCGAGTAATCTTCTTATCTGTAATTTCCCTCTCCCTCAATATGTTCACCGATGCACCCAACCTAAGTAAGAAAAGCATTAAATAGAAACAACTCCGGAAATTGATAAATCTTCTGCCTCAATGGTTAGCAAAATGAAAAACAACAAAAGATTCTATATTTCACAATGATCCGCCAGCTCGACTGAGTTGGCATTTTCGTATGGATCAGAAAATACAATACACAACAGATTAAGTCAACCGGTGTTTTTGCAAGAAAATTTATGGAAGCTTGACATTAATATAAACACAACAGATTAGGCTTTACGTCGCGGAAATACCAAGGGGGCTAATGCAATAAATTATTACAGTTTATTTCGATGCGGAGCAACTTTTTGATTAGTTGCTTCATTTAATCACAGCGTCAATTGATCGCTGTCAGTGGTTAAACTCATCGCAGTTTCCTTGAGCTTGGGCAAGAAATTTCAAATGCATCATAACTGCTCCACACTTCGGGTATTATCAGGTTTCTTGTATAACAGGTTTCCTAAAATAATACCCCAGTGGAAAAATACTTTAAATCTGAAACTTTTTTTAAATATCGCTAAATTTCCTGAAGTCTAGGACAAATGGTATTAAAATTTCTGAATTTCCAATAAAATGAGGTCAGAATGAAACCTGGGACTTTTAAATACAACATGAATGAAACAGTTGGCATTTAACTTTCAGGATACGCGTCAGGAACATAATTCATTTCACCTGAACGCTGATCGATCTGTCGTCCGTGCGAGGACAACAGACACAGAGCATATTAAAGTTTATGACACATTTATGTGAAGATAGTGATAAAAACCTAAAAATACAAAATGAAGTGAAGAGACACTATGGGTTTCTCTCTATCGTGAGAAAAGAAATTAATGGTGTGCCGGAAAAGAAACTATCTAGGAGCAAGATTCGGTTATCGTGTTTGGATCAGAGTAAATTTGGTCCCTGCTCTGGAGTGAATTTTATTTCGTTAATGGCATCTGGAATATTTAAATAGCTACATAGTTTTAAAAGAACAATGAGGTAGCAGTTTTATAAAATTTCTTAATTCAAATTAATTGTATTTTCGCTGGAGAAGCGGTAGTAGCGAATTTATTTGAATGTGCCAATAAACACAGAAGTTTAATCAACGATTGACAATGTAAGGAATACGATTGCGCATAAGTTGCCACGGTTTATGGTTTTAATTTCTTCCGCTTGATGAGATCTATTCTATTCCATATTATCCACCAGTACAATTGTTCCTCTCGAGCAGACGAACTTCTCTATCCTGGTCTATTTCGTAGCGACCGATGAAGGAAAAAGAGGCCTGCCTGAATGCTTCAGTACGACCTGGAGGATCACAGGTTTGTTGCGGGTTCCTTGATAGTTCGATGTACAGGTCGCTATGTCGCTGTAAAGAGGATATTCGACGTCAGCGAGAATGTCGTCACTGAGCTTTGTGGCACTCGTTACAATAAAATTGCCAAACTGCTTTATAAGGGCCTGTACGTCAGATAAACAAAAGCTGGCCAGCAACTTCAGTAAACGCCCGATACAGTCATGGCTGGCGGCCTTTCAAATCAATGTAATAGACGGAAGCTGCGAAGAGAAGTAATGTAGCATCATGCAACATTGCCCAAAGAACTGCAGCATCTCTCGCTTCACCCCAGGACATTTCATTCTTCTGAGAAACGAAAGAGCCTTTGTGAACTTGGCAGCCAGAGATTAAACCTGTAGATGTAATGAAAAACATATATCTGTTTTGGTGCCGACATACTTCGCTTTATAACCGGCTGTGAAAATCATCATATTTCAGCTCCTGGGGTGCAGGCCTGTTTCTTGCCGAAGAGAACGTTATGCCTACCAACTTAGCAGCAATTACCATTAGTTCCACGTTGGTCGACAGGACCACGTACGGCAAAAAGAATGACAGCATCATCTGCGCATTTAATGAACTGAGCGTCTGTTCCAACACGGCATTTACCAGTGCGCAGTGCGAAGAGAGTCAGTGGCTCAATCGAACCCTGTGCAAGACCTAATTCGCAGCGCTTCACCGTGGACTTATGAGGATCAATGGTGACATACTGATTGACTTGGGTAGATATGTCGCAAGGAGACGAACGATATGAAATAACACGCTTTATGATGCCAGGCAATTTATAAACTGTCGTGAGGGATGAGATTAAAAGCTGAACTGTGCATTTGAGGAAAGCCGTCCGTACAAATCTGCAAATGTCACCACTATTTAGTGAAACGCAATTTATGAACGTCGCCAGTGCGTCAGTTGTGCAGCAACGGTTTCCGAAGGCGAAACGGCAGGGGTCGATATGCTGACCTACAATCTTTGATCCGACGTTCCACACATTTCAGTCCAATGGATGACACCCAGATTTGTATCGAGACTATCAGCCGTCTATGAGCCGTGTGTTTAGGCACGTGAGTGACCCGCACAGTTTGCCAGGCGCTCGAAAGAAGGCGATGGTTAAAAGAGCTATTTTAAATTTTAGTGAATGGTCTCGAAAGCACGTGAACGCCCAGCTTCAATGCGATGGGCGGAAGAATGTCTGGACCAGCAGCTTTAGTGGATTTCATTTATCGGAAACATTTCCGAACTTAATGATCTAATACAAGGTGAACTCGTTCGATGCATCTGTTGCTATATTTTAGGTCGCATTTCTGGCTTCAATTTTCTTTTGAAAACGCAGAAGGAAACCACCAAAATTGTTTGAATCGAAAATCCCTGATGTGCGATTGCATATTTAGTTGATGACATTCTATTTTTCTTGGGTTTATTCATAAATTCAACACTGCTATAGAAAATGTGCCTTTCAAATGCTGAATATGGCAGGTGATTTCTTTATGTTACCCTTTGTATTCAAGTGTGCGGTCCGCTATGATAGGCTTTATCTTTAGCTCTAAGCAGATTTCTTACTGTTTCACAGATGCAATGGGCATTGTTAACAGAGATAAACTTTCTCGGACGAGACACAAGTCTCCAATCCATACTTTACATATGCTGTTACGGCATCCACATAGTGATTTAAATCTGAGTCTCGGAAAAGAGCAAAGTCCGTCTGTTCCAGGAAACGAAGAAACCAGCCAATATTTTATGAGAACAGCCGCAGCTGCTTGGTGATAGCGGTTTCGATTCATAAAATGACGTAGGCGAAGCTTGGTTTATGTTCTTCGTACTAATCTGATGGAGCAAAGATCTGATGACCACAGAGGCTCTGAATGTGAAACAAAACAAAACATTTTGTGTCGTTCGTCATTTTACAGTCCAGCATACCCATGAAGCATGTGGCAAAATTAGCTGGCTTTGCGGTCGACGTCAGGGCATTTAGACCAAGGTGGTTTATCCCCTCCCATTAGTAGTTTCATTTAAAACAGGGGACACCTTACTATGCAGCTACTCCATAAATATGTACACTACTGCCTTGAGACAATTAGGTGGTGTAGATGCTGCTTAGCATCACAATGCAATATAAAAGTAGATATCATGGGCAGCACTTCAAAATAAAGCAGTGAAAATCTACTGTCAAGAAACAAAACCATACCGACGAATTTTCCGTTAATGATCTACTGGCCCAAGTACTAAGACCGCCTCTAAATGCTTCTTTGACCAATGGTCTATCCAGCAGAAAACCATCGATGGCTACAATCCTGTTGTCAAGAGATAAAGAAAGTTATGATTCTTGGATCATCATTGTGCATGCCTTGCAGTATATTGGCAGGTTCAGTAAAGTAAACAGTTCATCTGGTTTTGAGAAGAGGGACCTGCAGTTGCAGAAAAGCACAGTTGCAATTTTCATCTCTGCCGGTTATGTCGTTTCACCATCCGCTTGCCAACCAGATCTTCGACCTCGTTTAGTTTTTTGATGAGGCAAGTCACCAGTTCATAGTCTTGGAGCCGATGTCATCAAAGCGATGAAGTACAGAGATGGTCGAGAGTGACAGGTGTTGCAAATTAATGCGCACCGATTGTCAAGGTTCGATGTGAGAGAGCAAAAAAGCGAACAGACCACTCTACGCTACGTCAGCCCCAACTATGAAGAAGTGATCAGAGGCATATCAGAGGCAGTTTCCGTCTGAAGTTAACTTTTATTCACCTGATGATTCACTCAGATTTTAAAGGATGAGTTGGACGCTAATGGGGTAGGTTATACAGCCATGAGGAACACTTTCCTTGATCCAAAAGCAGCTTCCTCATGAGTCTTCCATTCATACCGTCTCAAATTTACCCTGATGCCGGAGAAAGATTGCTATCAGAAACGACAGATAGGGACCAATGATCCAAAAAGTATTTTCTGTCTCAGGTAACATAAAAAAGCTCGCATTTCCTTAGACGTAATACTTTAAATGATTCCTACGGCTTGATGCAAAGTTTCCAAGTTGACTCTAAATAAATGTGTTGATAACAACATCTTAATAACATAGGAAAATACTTCAGTAGATTATCCCACAGAGTATTCTTATTCTTCCGTTGAGGACTGGTAGCTTAAGTTGGAAAATAGCTTACTCGTTACTCATAGTAGAACCAAAGAATGTTTATACCGGCACAACAAGCATTCCTGCAATGATTAACCAACTGCTTTACCGCTTCTCTTTCGCTGCACAACTAAAAGATCGGCAGGGTTTTCAGTATAAATATTTGTGATATCACCACAGACGAAATATACACTTCATTCCGTATGCAAAAAAAGCTAGTATCAAAGTACGATTATATGCCTTGCCAAATGCACTTCTCCCTTGGTAAAGTGGAATTTCGATCACCTCTGAATATTGTCGGCAGAGCAAGTCAGAAGTCGGATATGAATGCTGTAACAAACGTCGTGGTACACAAGATCGTAAAACCAATGGTAAAAAATGGTACAGCTCGATATTCTAGCTGAATCTCCCCATGTTTCGTACTAGGCCGTTTCAAAATACAGTTCGAAGTCTCATTCTATAAGATTCCAATATGAAGCCATCGGTGTGAAGACTGAAGCATAAAGAAAATCTGTGATTACGAAAATGGTTCAAAGACTCTGCAGAATGAGGAACGGTAAAGATAAAATCTCCTCAAAGAATCATCTGTTAATCTATAAATTTAGATATTCCTCTGCATTAACATTCTATCCATCAATTCGTTTCTTTTTCATCACTGTTTAACTTGTCTCACGGCGGTGTATTTTGCGCGTACGTATACTGCTATACCAACGGCTCAGTGACTGCCAATGAAACTTTAGTCGATGCTACGATAAAATGCAATTTTCGCTAATTTAGGCAACAGATTCTTTTCATTTGGCTGACTGTTCATTAACATAAACTGATGAGAAAACAAGCACCAAGCAGTCCATTCTCAGCCAATATCGTTGTTTTAAAGTCAGCAGACAGAATACTGAGGATCTTTCTTACTCGCTCGCCATTCTTTTAAGTGTTGATAACGACATGGCAAGATCGGTGGCTGTCAAACCGGTACAAGTGCCGTTGTCTTCGACACCAATTTCGTATATCGCCTCGCCCTGACCCTCGCGAAGTCGCCATTTCAACTGCGTAACCAGATGTTGAAACCTCGACGGAGATGGATTAATGAGCTTCAACTAATAAAAGCAATGCAGAAAGAGAAATTATAAAAACACCTGACGGTAAAAATCAGACCCGGATATTACCTTGTACTCGACATTTCCTTCATCGTCTTCGGGAGGCAGCAACAGAGACAGGCAGTTACCAGTGGCAGAACTCTTAACATGCGAACTACAGGACAGCTTTGGCATGTGGATGCCGGCGAACCACTAAGAAAAGAGCCCCCTTTATTCGCGGCGCTGGACGGCTTTCTTCTTGTTCCTGAAAATTACACTTATAACTCAGTTATACTGTATCAGTAAGGATATCGCTGCTTCAGGGATATTCATGAAGTTCTATGAGAATAAACAAGGAATTCATGCAACGTATTCCGAAGTGAATTAGTTTTGTTTCACTTTAGAGTTTGTACTACCTGTTTGATGCCAAACAAATAGTATCCCATAATAATCTTTAAAAACAAATTACAAAACGATATGCAAAAACTAAAGCAAAACGGTCTCTAAAAAGTTACAAAGTTGTCAGGTGATAAGGAAACAAGGAAAAGTTAAATCGTTTGAACATCCGAGATGTTTGTAATGACAACGATCCCTGCAGTTTGGTATAAGACTACCAGCCGAAAACATGATTTTTCTGAAAAAATATATTTATACAAAGGTGATCAATGTAGCACTCAGTGCATTGCTGTCTTACCCGATAGTGGCACTATTTTCGCATTTCAGAAGAACTAGGGGACAGTCTACGATTCCAGATTATGGAAACGCCATCCAGCATAATCATGACAGCCAACGTTACATCACCATGCACCATCATCTTCGTCAAAAAGATCACAAGCAAGTTTATTCAGCTAGTTCAATGAAGTAGTGAGAAAGCCTTGCTTTCATGTACTTTCAGTATCACTTGTATTAATCCACTATAAGTTATCAACAGGACAGTAGTTCGCATATATGGGCATGAATATACCTAAGCCGGTGACACCGCGATTTCATTCGAATTATAACTAAGCCAACCGCAAATCTAAGACGCACTAGTGCTTGACATCTTTTAATTTACGCCGTGGGTCTGATGTACGCCGAGACTGAGGAAGAAATTCGGTAAAAACTACACACTACCTGTCTGGGCTTGTTTTATTCCATACCGGACGGCAAAACATACTTCAATATAACATACCCTCAACTCAGACCTCAGCCCAATCATACAA